AGCGACGATCTCAGTCATCGAAGATACAGAACTCGAGGAAAGACTCAAGAAAGCTTACGCAACAGACGAATGCGCCAAGCGAGTCTTGTCCAAAGTCGAAGGCGACTTCACCATCGACGAACAAGGATTGATTCGATACAAAGGGTTAGTGTATGTCCCAAGTCAAATGAGACGCCCGCTGGTGCAAGAACAACACTCGTTACCAGCACACGGTCATCAGGGAGTAACACGAACCTTCGAACGAATCACTCGACACTACTACTTCCCAGGTATGAGGAAGCAGGTAGAGACAGTGGTAAGAGAGTGCGACATTTGCAGCAAGTCAAAATCCAATAGGCATCTGCCATACGGACAACTCAAGTCGACACCAGTACCAAAAGGAGCGTGGAAATCAATAGCTTTGGACTTCATCGTCAAGCTTCCACCCTCCAAGGACCCGTTAACAGGAATAGAATACGACTCTATCCTCGTCATCACGGAAAGACTCACGAAATATGGGAAGTTTATACCATATCTAGAAGCTAGCGACGCCGAGGCGCTCGCATATACCTTCATTCGAGTCATATTAGCCGATCATGGGATGCCAGAAGAAATCATCTCAGATAGAGACAAGCTCTTTACTTCGAAATTCTGGAAATCATTGATGGCGCTACTGGGAACAAATCATAAGCTATCAACAGCTTTTCATCCCCAGACAGACGGCCAAACAGAAAGATTAAATCAGACCCTTGAACAGTACCTGCGAAGCTATGTCAATCATCAACAGGATAACTGGGTTCAGATCTTACCCATCGCACAGTTTGCATATAACAGCGCGATGACAGAAGCAACGAAAGTCTCACCGTTCTTTGCCAATTATGGCTACCAGCCAGAAGCATATAGGCAACCAAGACCGGATGAATCACGAGCTGAACAAGCCCTGATCGTGGTGGAACAACTGAAATCGTTCCACGAACAACTTGCGACGGACATCCAATTCTTAAATGAACGATCCGCCGCATACGCAAACAAGAAGCGCAGTATGGAACCTGCCTTCAAGGAGGGGGATAAAGTATACCTACTCCGGAAACATATCAAAACGAAACGACCAAGCACAAAGTTGGACTTCAAGAAATTGGGACCATTCAAAATATTGAACAAAGTCAGCTCAGTTAATTACAGACTGCAGCTACCCAGGAAGTCTAGACTACACCCGGTATTTCATGTCTCACTACTGGAACCAGCAAGAGGAAATACCCCAATTGCGACCGACACCGAACTCCAACCCGAGAATGAGATAATCGAATATGAGGTCGAAGCAATCCTAGACAGAAGGTTAGTAGGACGTCGAGAAGAGTTTTTGATAAAATGGGAAAATTACGAACCTACGGATAATTCGTGGGAACCAACAAGGAACATCAGCAAAGAACTGCTGGAGGAATATCGACGCCGCCATCCGCCAGCCATTGATCCCAAGATGCAGGGGAGTAGGCCAGTGGATCGGAGGAAGCGGAGGTCCCGGTCACAGACGAGGAGGCAGCGCTAACTGCCTGTTCCTCGACCTCAACAGCGTCACGCTTCTCAGCAGCCACACGTTCGGCCTCCTCTGCCGCATCAAGCTCGTCGAGGGTTTTCAAACCTCGCCGGAGCATATCTTTACCACGGGTTCGGATGAGGCGTTTCTGCTTCCGCAGACGAAGTAACTTCGAAAGGGTTTCTTCCTCTTCGCGATCCAGGCGATCCTCCTCCCGTTCGAGCTTCACCCAGTCGGGATGCTCAGGACCCATACAATCACATTTTTCTTTCAAGTTGCGACGAACGCACTCGGCGCACCGCCGTGAATCATTTGGAGACGACACGCAAGTAACGTTTCGCCTCACGCAGTTCGAGCAAGAATCCATTTCGGGTAGTTCGTATCCGTGGTTCTTTATTCGACGGACAAGATCGTTGCGTTCCTGGAGTTTGCGGGCAGTGTCAGTAGGCATGTTGCATGTTGAAGGACTCGCTGAGGAGCAGCAGAGTCCCGGGGACATGGACGTACTTATAGGATTCGAGACGAATGCCCAGGGGAAGGGAGCGAGTGTTACGACGGAACAAGAAGGCTGGCCAACTACAGGACAGGAAGGAGGGAGGTCGCATGAGACCAGCCCTGGTACCTGGAGGGGCAGCGGGGAATAGTAGTTCCGAAAGTATCACGTGACGGACTCGCAGGATGATGAGAAGAGTCCTAAGAGTCCAGGACTCCGAGGACTCGAGTGAGTTCCCAGGAGTCCACTAGGCACGTGATGGACTCGCAGGATGATGAGAAGAGTCCTAAGAGTCCAGGACTCCGAGGACTCAAGTGAGTTCCCAAGAGTCCACTAGGCACGACGCCACTATATAAGTAGATAGTATTTCCTTAGATAGGAGCTTCGTGCTCAACTCAATACAGTATTTGTTATATACTAGTAACGTGTTACTTGAAGCCTTTGTGTCTGATCCCCTGCCTCCTCTGATAAGTAAACCTTTACGCAAGAGAACCTCTGTGTCTTCTATCGTTTAGAAGTCAGCGTTACACTAGGCCTCTAGTTGGTAGAGATATGTCATGTGGTAGTATGAGTGATGTCATGTAATGAATCATAGGGGGTTGTAGAGATATGCTATGTGGTAATATCGGCCCTGTAACTAAGGAGCTATGACGTGTAATGAATCATAGATGGTTGTAGCAATCGTTGAGTAGTTGCTCTTGTTGTTGGTGTGATAAGCCAAAATATGTATAGTGACTTGTAGGTTTGAGGAGGAGATTTCCAAGTTTGCTCTTGAGTTTGATAGCAAACTGAGTGCAACGAATGTCAGTATGACAGTATGAAGCAAACTGAGCCGCAAAAACGTTGTTGTAGATGTTGTGGACAAATTGGTCACAACGTACGAACTTGTCCAAATATTGTAGATATATCTGATGATTCAAATGCCGAAGAGTTAGAATAGTTTAATTAATTAATTGTTGAGATATTTTATGATTTCGTACGATGCCAAGGAATAATCGGCGGTGAGCTTGTGTAGGCGACTCACTTGTGAACTACGTTACTGTAACGCTGACTTCTAAATAATAGAAGACACAGAGGTTCTCTTGCGTAAAGGTTTACTTATCAGAGGAGGCAGAGGATCAGACACAAAGGCTTCAAGTAACACGTTACTAGTATATAACAAATACTGTATTGAGTTGAGCACGAAGCTCCTATCTAAGAACTAACTATCTACTTATATAGTGGCGTCGTGCCTAGTGGACTCCTGGGAACTCACTCGAGTCCTCGGAGTCCTGGACTCTTAGGATTCTTCTCATCATCCTGCGAGTCCGTCACGTGACTCGAGTCCTCGGAGTCCTGGACTCTTAGGATTCTTCTCATCATCCTGCGAGTCCGTCACGTGATACTTTCAGAACTACTATTCCCCGCTGCCCCTCCAGGTACCAGGGCCGGTCTCATGCGACCTCCCTCCTTCCTGTCCTGTAGTTGGCCAGCCTTCTTGTTCCGTCGTAACAGTTACATATTTTATCACTTTTACTGCCAACCCACGCTGGCCAGAGGTGCTTGCACAGCTTTTACCAGGTCAAACGCACCTTGACCGGCCAGATATTATAGGAGACATTTTTCAGATCAAGGTTACTTCCTTATTAAAGGACTTAGCGGATGGTGTTCTTGGGCCGTACGCAGGCCATTGCTATACTATTGAGTATCAAAAGCATGGACTGCCACATATGCACCTCTGCTTATTTCTACGACCTGATTATCAGCACGAGCTTATGAGCCCATCTGCTATTGATAACGTCATATGTGCTGAGCTACCTGACCCGTTATGGGATGTTGATGGGTCTTTGCGGTCGATTGTTGCTAAGCAGATGACACACGGCCCCTGTCATGGTAAAGCGTGCCGTCCGCTAGAGCTTCCAGCGGACCGTTTACGCTGCCAGAAGCAGTATCCTTGGCCGTTTCGGGAGGATACTATCTGCACAGATGATCATAAGGCAGAGTATCGTCGCCGACGTGGTGATACTTATACCGATGAGAATGGATTCATCTTGACAACCGTTGGGTGGTTCCTTATAACCCCTATCTATTACAATGGTATAAGGCACATATTAATGTAGAGCTTTGCTCAAGCGTTAAGGCTGTTAAATATATTCACAAGTATATTTATAAGGGAACGGACCGTGCTACTATGCAGGTTGACCAGTTCACAGGCGATGAGTTAAAGCAATATGTTCACGGCCGATACGTTACTCCTATTGAGGCCTATTGGCGGATCATGGAGTATTCTACACATGGTGAACATCCACCTGTTCAACGGCTACAGATGCATACAGAGGGTAATCACTCTGTTCAGTTTCGTCCAGACGATGACCCAGCTGAGGTTCTTGAACGGACTGCTAACGGTTCTATTTCCTCATTGGTAGCGTTCTTCCGCTATAACACGCTATATGCTGATGGTCGCCACCTGTTATATCATGAGTTTCCTCAGCACTACGTTTGGAATGATAAAGTGTGGCGGATCCGCAAGCGTGGTTTTGCAATTGACCGGATTTATCACTGTAGTCCAAGTGCTGGGGAGCGGTACTACTTACGACTCCTATTAACGGTTGTCCACGGTCCAAAGGGGTTTGAGGACTTATACTGGCACGCGGACGTCCGCTACGACACCTATCAAGCTGCGGCATTCCAGCGCAAGCGCCGCACAAGTGGCCATCCACTACGATGCAAGGTTGGCCCCCGAAAGGACCCAACCTCTTGACGCAGTGGCCGCAAGGAGAAGAAGCCTCTTTGCCCACATGCTTTGCGGCCCATGCCTCCGCGTTAGCGGGCCGCGAGAGTGAGAACGAGTCCGTGTTCTTGATGAACACGGAACGGACGGTAGAGAGGGCGGCGAGTGCGGTGAACGCCGCCGAGGTGCTACCTGGCGGGATGGTGCGGCTAGCAAATTCTGAAACTATCCACGTGTTAGTATCTCACTTCAATTAGGGGAAAGGGGGTGGGGGGTTACCTTGCCTAGAGGGTGCAGATTCTCCCAGCTCGGGAGAGTTGTGGCGGCCGCCGCGAGTGTCTTCTGGCTCCGGAGAGCCATCGTGGGAGGAGAGTGAGGGGTCGGGGTGCCGTGGATGGTAGTGGTGGTGGAGAGGGCACGCCGACCCGGAGTTGTAGCGAGGGTGGAGGGGAGAGAGGAGTGCGGGAGTGGCGGCAGAGAGTTTCTTCATCGTCAGAAGACGGCAGCGTGGGAAGGTCTTCCATAAGGGCGGCGATGGCCGCGTCGTATGTCAAGTCAGTCGGGAGGCCGGGAGGCGGAGACGTAGCGTGGAGAGTTAGGGCAGCGGAGGCCGGGAGGCGGAGACGGATCGCGGAGAGTTGGGGCGGAGAGTTAGGGCGTCGGTCGAGGTGGCCCGCCATGGTGCGGGGTGGTGAGGCGGTATTGATTGGTTTCCAGGCAAAGAGGGTCATTAATCTATGAGTACGTTAGTTTAAATATAATACAGTGGCCTTGATTGTGCCTCTAGGGGGGAGTAGGGGGGCGTATTACCCTTGACTTACCTCGGAAGTAGTGAGGGCGTTGGTGATGTTGAAGGAAAGAAGGGTTGGGGCTAGAAGCTTCAAAATATGCTGTGGTTTGTTTACGCGTCTACGGCTATATGTTACTATGAAATTGAGGATCCTATTCTACTACTGTATTTACTATTGTTTTGGGGTTCTACGATTTCTACATACATTGGCGCTTCGCTAGACGGCACCCTACTAAAATCCAGCACCTCAGCTAGAAAGCTCGCTTCGCTCGCTCGCTCTCCTCGTAAGACTATCTCACTTCTACTGTTGCAGTTTGCAAATTCAAATCAACTATACAAATCAGTTATGCAAATCAGCTATGCAAGAAGGTAAGTGCAGGCTGGCACACTACTATCTAGAGGAGCGGTTAATGGAAAAGGCATCCGGGCTCGTAGCTCTACCACGGAAAGTGCAGACGGGACACAAATCATACAAAGAAAAGTGCGGCCGAGCAAAGACTTACAACTATACACAGGTAAGTGCGGGGACCGGATGCAAGGGGCCGCCAGCAGCCGCCACCACGTACGTAGGGTTACATACCTCGTGGTTTCATGGTGTTGGGAGATCTGATATGCAGTAAGGGACGACGGATGAGAACGGATGAGAACGGCCAACGGGCATCAGTGTCTCTGTCTAAGTCCGCTAGGAAAAAAGAGTAGAAAACGAATGCCTTTGAGACATTCTCTGTGAACATGTGTGGGATGTTTCAAGCATGAGTCTCACAAAGATTGAGACGCGCTGATACGTGCTACTTCTTTGAATATAACGATTCACTTTGATCCATTCATATCGACGCACTAAGGGTTATTCACCTGTCCCGCATTCCCGGAACCTTTGAATCTCTCATTACCAACTGCTATAACAAGCACTCCACCTCCTTCTTTCCACACAAACTTTTTTGAGCCCTTGGTAATTAATACACTCATTAAACCCTTGTCCGTCCTCAACATGGACAACTTTCCTCCTCGTCAGTCACTACAGACTCAGCCAAGCGACAGTAAAGCCGCCATACCACTTCCACAGATCGATACAGGCTCCTCGCAGCTACAACAGAAAGCCATGCCGGGCCTTCCACCCAAGATCAGTGCTACCCAGCACCACAACTTTGCCATTCCGGGCCAAGGTGACGAGGAATTCAATGTCGGCAGAGTAGCGACACTTCATATGGCTGACTCAGCCGCTGGTGGTGCTTCCGTCGTCGAGTCGTCTCAAGCCTGGACTGCTGTTTCTACCCCAGTGCCCAAATCTCTTCATCCGCTGCCAGAAAAGCGCCAGCATCCCATTGTTCGCAACCTCAGACACACATATATGGCAGTCTACCAACGCCTCTTCTCTGTTGTAGCCATTCTGAATGCCATTGCGTTCGTGTACATCGTCACCACGGTGGATTTGAGCAAGCCTCAGCTGTTGTCCTCCCTCGCTACGGCAGCAGCGAGTAATATCCTGGTCGCCATCCTGATGCGCCAGGAGTATGTCATCAACTTCATATTCAAGACATGTTGGATGATTCCTCATCGTGCTCCGCTCCGCATCAGAAGGATGCTGGCCAAGGTGTATGAATTTGGCGGAATGCACAGCGGAGCCGCGTTCTGTTCTACTGTTTGGTTCATCGCCTATAGCGCCGTCTTGACCAAAGACATGGTCGACGGCGCCATGCGTTTTCCAGCGATGTTGGCAGTGGCGTGGATTCTTGTATTCCTGCTCGTATTGATCATCGTGAGTGCTATGCCGATGTTCCGCATGGCCTACCACAATACCTTCGAGGTCATCCACCGTCTTGTTGGCTGGACAGCTCTAGCTCTCTTCTGGGCCGAGCTCTTTCTCTATGCAGTCGCCGTCCAGCGGATCTACACCTCCGATGCCCCAGCCTATGGCCTGATCCTGATCCGCGAGCCCGCCTTTTGGCTTCTCGCTGTGACCACCGCCTTCATCATATGGCCCTGGGTGTTCCTTCGCAAGCTGGCGATAAAGCCAGAGAAATTCTCAAACCGCGCCATTCGACTACACTTTACAGGATACAAGGTTCCCCCATTCTGCGGTATCCGCCTGTCCAAGTCTCCACTCCTTGAGTGGCATGCCTTCGCCTGTATTGCCAACGACATCGGCGGCTCGGTCCTGATCTCCAGCGGGGGAGACTGGACCCAAGACTGTATCGCCAACCCGAGACCATACTACTACGTCAAGGGCATTCCCGTAACCGGTGTTCTGAATATGGCGCAGGCTTTCCGGCTCGCTGTCATCGTAACTACTGGCTCCGGAATTGGGCCATGCCTGTCGTACCTCGCTGGGATTGGGAAGCAGGGAACCTGCCGCATGATCTGGTCGGCGCCAAGCCCATGGGCTAACTACGGAAAGGATATCTGCGACGCGGTTACCAAGGTCGACCCCAACGCTATGGTAATTGATACGGAGTCGTCCGGACGTCATGACCTAGCGGCATTGGCGTACCAGATGTATATTGATTCCGGCGCGGAGGCGGTGTTTGTTATTAGCAACCCTCGCGTGACGAAGCAGATTGTGTATGCCATGGAATCTCGTGGCGTCCCTGCATTTGGGCCAGTTTGGGATTCTTGAAAGCTGTCGTTTGTACCAGTCTGGGTTTATCGAAGGCTGCTGTACTTTTGGATTTGGAACCCCCACGTGGAATTCGATGTGTCGGTTTCCGATAACGCGTGGCAAAGGCCTACGGCTTTATTTACCTGCGCAGTCAGATTAAACACCGGAGGCCAACACCACCTATGTGGCCATCACTCACCTTTGCGCATACTTGGATAGTATTTGGATAGGGGAAGTTGAAGCCGTCATTTGTGTCGCCATCGCTCTTTTGACAAATCAGAGTATCTGGAATTCCAAATATGGGCAACGCATATATGAAACGAGGCGCGTGGTGGTATTTGGATATCGCATATTCTGGAAAGGGGCAGTATGAGAGGAGACGTTGGTCTCGCCTATGACTTGTGGCGTTGCTGGGGTAGCACTTGAGAAAGTTTGGGTTTATATCACGGGGGTGACTAACTCAAACAAGGCAGAGGGCTCAGTTAGATTGTCTTTAATAATATGCTGTGGCGAGGGGTTAGTAGTATAAATTTGGAAATCAAGATGCTTTTGATTATGAGACTATTTCTTTGTGATATTAGATCTTTCCTAGAATTAGCTTTTGAGACTCGTATCATATAAGAGATAAACACAAGTATTTCAGCCACATACACTCAGCCACGTACATTCTCTTGGTCCAAGTGTCGAGGCTGGGCATGGCAACAAGGTAACATTCGTTTAGCATCAGCTTTCATTCGCCTCGAGCTGTGCATAATGGCGTTTCAATCAAGGCCATCAGACAGGGAATACGATACTCGATTCACGTTACGTCGATACGTTTTGCTGGCCTCAACCCCCCTGTCCACTACCAAAATACGTTCGATATCTCCTGCAAAATATATCGAGATATCATAAATATCAGGTAAACGCGTATCGACTTAACGGATTATGACTGTAGCATGAGACCGACTCATGGAGCTATAATATCTGACTGACTCGTGGGAGCGTTAGGTAGGCATGCACTACACACAAAAGCGGTGAGACGTCGCAAGGTTCCCTGTTATCTTCTGGAAGGGGGGTCATGTCCGTCTCTAATGTCCGTCTTCATACTATCCTCCTAGCGGGTTGACTTCTCTGTGGCGTATGATGTGCTTCATATAAACGCCTGCATCCTAGGATCCGGATTAAGGGGTGTGGGATCTGAAGTTGCTTTCAGTCATACTCTTCTTAAATGCCTTATGCATAAGACCTTCAATTTGCGCACTATATGCCTTTTTTAGGGGCCTAAAACATGTGACAACTAATGGGTAGAGGATGTGTGAGGAGTGCAGAGGCATATAGAGGGTAAGGATACTGTTGTCCTTATAGTATTGCTCAAATAAATGGTGACTCTTATGGCCATCTAAAATTAAGAGCTGATAGACTCCATTTGTTAAGTGTTTAGTATGCTTATTGAAGTGCTTAACCTAATCGGCAGTAAGCTCATTCGTAGTCCTACTGCTTACAGCAATCTTCCAATCCTTTAGTAGCAGGCTGTTATCATTCTAAGAAGAGAGGTGGTATTTGACTTTAAAGATGATATATGGCGGTACTGTCCAACCCTGTGAATTTATGCCTTAAATTGTTATAGTGTTATGGCTATGGTAACGTGATGTCATGGTTACAGGGCTAGTGGGGCTAGGCTCTAGTAATGTGACCTGTGAGTCACAAGGCTAGCGCTTACAGCCACAACCCCACGTGATGGATAGCAGAGGATATCATGGATATTTGTTATCCAAAGTATCCTCAATATCCTACACCTATGAGTCACAAGGCTAGCGCTTACAGTCAAACCCCACGTGATGGATAGCAGAGGATAATCATGGATATTTGTTATCCAAAATATCCTTGATATCCCTTTGGCACGACGCCACTATATAAGTATATAGTATTCCCTTAGATAGGAGCTTTGTGCTCAACTCAATATAGTATTCTTTACAATACTGTAACGTGTTACTTGGAAAGCCTTTGTGTCTAACCCCCTGCCTCCTCTATCAAGTCAACCTTACACAAGAAACCTCTGTGTCTTCTATAGTTTAGAAGTCAGTGTTACATATAGCCCATTCTCAATTTCTTAAGGAGCTTCACATGAGCATAGGCACCTGGCCGCATACGGGATTCTCACCCTCTATGACGTCCTGTTCCAAGGAACTTAGGCCAGACCATGCTAGAAGCATCCTCTACAAATTACAAGGACCGTGAGGCCAGATTTCAAATTTGAGCTGTTACCGCTTCACTCGCCGTTACTGAGGTAATCCCTGTTGGTTTCTTTTCCTCCGCTTATTGATATGCTTAAGTTCAGCGGGTATCCCTACCTGATCCGAGGTCAACCTGAAAAAATTGGGGGTTGCTGGCAAGCACATGACCGGACCTCCAGAGGCAGAAGAATTACTACGCTCGGAGCCGGACGGCACCGCCACTGACTTTAGGGCCCGCCGGGTCGGCGGGGCCCAATACCAAGCTGAGCTTGAGGGTTGTAATGACGCTCGGACAGGCATGCCCCCCGGAATACCAGGGGGTGCAATGTGCGTTCAAAGATTCGATGATTCACTGAATTCTGCAATTCACATTACTTATCGCATTTCGCTGCATTCTTCATCAACCTCAACTTGAATAAATTCTCTATGACTTTCAGCGATGAATTAATAGCCGTGGTGGCTTACAGCTAGTGATATATGTCAAGAAAAGGTGAGGGAGAACTACTATCACTATCGCTACTGCCACTATTGCTACTACTATCACTCTGATCCTTACTATACCGTAAAATGATTACTTTTGATTTCAACCCTTCCTTCTTCCGCTCTGCTACCCGCTTCCTCTCAACCTTACGCTCTTCAATTTCGATTTTACGTGCTTGCACTTGTAGCTGCTTTACTACTTGGTCCGATTCCCTTGCTGCTCTTGCGTCTGCTTTTGCTTGCAGCTTTGCTTCCTTCTCTTCCCGCATTTTCCGTGCATCTGATGCATATAACTGCCCTCCTTTCTGTAGTGATTTCCGTGCCCTTGCCTTTGCTGCCTTCTGCTCTACTGCACGTAGAGTCATAATATCTAGCTCAGTCTTATAGAGCTCTGCCCGGTGTAGAACAACTGTAGTTCCACGTGCAAATGATTGAAACCCTTCTCTTGAAGGCGATGAGAAAGCTTCCTCTGCTCTCTTCTGCCAATGTTCAACCGCTTGCACACTTTGCATAGTTGTTTTCGGTGTTGAGATAATATTATATGAAGCAAATGGCTCATAATCAGGTGTTTGATTCCGAGTCTCTTGTATCTTGTCAATTACAAGTGTAGGATTATATGGATATAGTCCTGCATTTCTCCAACCAGATTGAATTGTACGGACAGTTAGGAACGTACGTAGCTTATACTCATAGTCATAGCTACGTACTGCTTGATCAAGTGCCTTTTGATGAAAGTGTTTGCACTGCTTAAAAACCGCTACATCAAGAGGTTGTAATAGATGTGTTGTATGAGCAGGAAGGCAGCAAATAACAATGTTATGCTCTTCTGCTAATGTAAGAAAGCGCTCTGTTTTATGAGAGTCATGGCCGTCAAGTAATAAGAGGCGAGTATCATCTGGTGCCATATGCTCTGCAGATAGTTGGATAAAATGCATAAGGTATTGGATTGCAATGTCGTCGTTTGAATACCCGCTCTCATTTACAATAATGAGAGCATTTGGCTCAAGGTCATCATTGTACCATGAATCCATATGAAGTTTGCCAGGGATAATGATAGCTTCTGCAAGTGCAGCACCACTTGCATTTACTGCCTCAATTACAGTAACAGAGAGCCGATTCTCAGGATTATCAACAGTCCACTGCTTTACACCGATTGGTACATTAACAGCCGTAGACTTATAACACCCAATCATATAGCCTGTCTCATCAACATTCCATAAATTATATGGCTTAATGTTATGTTTTGTAATAAGGGCGTTATATGTGAGAAAGAATTCCTCAAACACCTCTTTCTTTTGTGCTTGCTTCCGATGTGTATTTAACGTCTTCGTGTGAATTGTATGAAATTCGGGGTGTGCTTTTAGAAAGCGTTGTAGCCACCGTTGTGATGGTATCGTACGATTAGGTCGTAAGTCTGCAACTGCCCGTAGTATCATAGATCGGTTGGCAGGGACCCCGCGCTCAAGTTGGTCGTATATGAATTGACAGACCGCGGTCTCTTGCGATTGAGATAAGACTCGATTGCTACCTCCGTGGGGTAATTGAGGAGACGTAGTACTCGTAATACGACGTCGGAGTGTCTCACGGTTGACATTGAATTTATTTGCAACCCAAGCAATTGTATATGTACTTGGTTGTTTTAAGAAGAACTGTTGGGCCTCATTAAGGCGAGCAATCATAGTAGGATCGTTATTTTGAGGCATTGTAGATACTACGTTATGAAGAATACTATTATTTTTTCTATATATCAAAATAGCGGTGTACGCACATCTTGCTGTCGCACGCACAACTTGCTGTCGCCACCTACGAGCGAAGCGAGTGGGTGGAACACCGAGTAGTGCGACCACAATTTCCTTGGCGACGGCGACCCTACTGCGGCCATACCGTCGTCATAGTCACCGTCTCCATCATCATCACTGTCTTCCTCGCTGTGTTCCTCGCTGTTCTCCTCGGCTTTGGCATCTTCTACGTTCTGTTTTTGGCCTTCTTCCTCGCTGTCTTCGTCTTCGTATTCGTCTTCATCGTCTTCGCTGTCTTCCTCGCTGTCTTCCTCGGATTTGGTTTTTTTCACGACGTTTTCGGTTCCTCTTCTTCGCTCTCATCATCATCATCATCATCCTCGTCGTCGTCATCACTCTCCTCCTCCTCTTGTCTCAGCCTCTTGGCAGCAACAGCTTCTTCTTCTTGAGCCTTCTGCTCTTCAGCGAGTTGGCGATCGCATTCCTCTCTGGCTTCTTTACGCTCCTTCTCCTGGCGCTCTTGGTCCATTTGCTGCTTCACTCTATGCATCATAGCAATGCTTTCCTGCTCCGGAACAACGCTTTCTTGCGCTTCTGCTCCTGGCGCTCTTGCTTCTGACGCTCCTTCTCCGGATGAGCCTGTTTCTGACGCTCCTGCTCTTGACGGGCCTGCTCCTGGTGCTCTTGCTTCTGACGCTCTTGCTCCTGACGCTCTTGCTCCTAACGCTCTTGCTCCTGACGCTCTTGCTCCTGACGCTGCTGCTCCTGACAGCGCACTCCTTCGCGGTGCTCCTTCATGCGCACTTGACGTTCTCGCTCCCGTCGGCGGTTGTCCTCTTGCTTCTTCGTGAGCTGCTCATTTTTGAGCATGTCAGCCTTGTGTTGCTGTTCTTTATGAACGAACACCAGTTGCTTTTCAACCAGTGTTTCATCATCAATCTTCTGCCCCTTCGGTGTGCTCTCCAGCCGTGTCTCCGTGATCATCTGACTCGTCTTCCTCATCCTGGACAGGGGCTGGCTTCACTGCCTTTTTGTGCTTTTTGTATGAACCGGGGACCTCTCTGACAGTTTCGCTACCTCCGAAGGGCGCTTGGAAGAGCTACGTGTCGTTCTTTTGGGTGTCGTTGGTGAAGATGCTCTGCTTCTATACGAACCATCCCATTCATCGAGGTTCTCGGACTTGATCTTGCGAGCCATGATTTCGATCTATAAATACCCAAGGAGTTAGTTCAAGCCAAGGGATAACGCGTAATCAGTGAGGGAACGGAGGGAAGCTGACTTGGTACAATCAATTTGTGATTACTGAACAGTACATAAGCTCCGTTTGCTGGAGTTGACTGACTGAGTGCAGTGCAGGTGAGATTATATAACACTGGAAGGGAGTCAAGCTGTGTTGATTGTTCGTATAATCCAAGTGAGATTGTAGCATTGGAGGGAGGGCCCACCAGAAGTTGATTTGGTATGAACAAGGTGAGGTTATTCAACCAGGAGGTAAGTAAACAAAGTCGCGCCTACGTGTGGGCAAAACCCTGCCTGTTCCAATTTGGACAAAACGCAGCTGTACAGTTCCTGTTTCTCTAATAGAAGGCCAAACAGCGCAAACAATCCAAATGTAGAATCATTGAAGTGTCCCCAACAGCGACGGCGAGCTGTATTCCCAGATATGGTTATTATGTCGCCCACATTCACTTTACACTCACTCCGTATACTCAATACACGGGGCTGATTTTATAAAATTGACATTACTGGCTATGCAATATCTCTGCCATGAATAATCACACTTCATTTATGTGAGTTAGGCTTTGGCTCTACCACGTGCGACAACTCAACAGTAGTGACTTTGGCAAGGCTCATGCCAATAGAAGCACTGGGAGGGTAAAATCGCACCCTTCTCATGAGTCCATTTCAATACAGGTTCTTTATACATTGACACTGTGATATTTTAGCTCTATCTGCAATGCATTGGCTGATAGTAGACTCAAGGTAAGCTCGCGGGTGTGTATGTGCTGCGTGTCTGATAAGACAGCAATTCCCCCTATCCAAGTTTCTTTTCCATATTGCTTATCCTGCCTGGTCTCCGTTAATGTGAACTTCACGTCTGAAACGCGCTAATTTGCTCTCGCGCGTTTTCTCCCCCTCCCTCTTCCCCTCCCCCTTCCCCCCCCCCTCGTGGATACCTGTGAGGCATCCGACCGGAAATCTGTGCCAAATGATGATTGTAGAGGGGTTTCGGCGTCCTTTGAACCCTCGGCAGCACCCTCAGTGGCACCCTCAATTGTTTGGAGGTGAGTCCCGATAGTCTCAGAGGCATCTTCCCTGTTCCTCTTGCCTAGTTGGGGGGCAGCATCTGACATCAGAGGTTTATCAAGTGTCGGTGGTAGTATACGAGGCTCGGCAGGACCCTCAGCGGCACCCTCAGTTTTTCGCAAATTACCCCCGACAGTCTTAGAGTCACTTTCCCTTTTCCTCTTGCCTAGTTGGGAGGCATCTGGTATGCCAGATTTGTCAACTGTCTCTGGTAGTGTACGAGTCTCGGCGGAACCCCCAACGACACCCTCAGTGGCACTTTGCCTGTTTTTTATACCGAGTTGGGAGCCATCGTACATGCGAGATTTATCAAGTGTTGGTGGTAGGATAAGAGTTTCGGGGAACCCCATAGCTACACCCTCAGTTGTTTGCAAGTGACTCCCCATAGCCCCAGGGGCACTTTGCCTGTTTTTTATACCGAGTTGGGAGCCATCGTACACTTGAGATTTATCAAGTACTGGTGGTAATATAGGGGCTTCAGCAACCCCCCCAACGGCACCTGTTGAACTCCCCATAGCCTTAGGGGTGATTAGCCTGTTCCCCTTGCCAAGTTCGGAGCCATCAGACATGAGAGATTTATCGATTATTGGTGGTAATATAGGAGCCCCAGCAACCCCCCCAGCGGCACCCTCAGTTGTTTGCAAATAACCCACCATAGTCTTAGGGGTAATTGACCTATTTCTCTTGCCTAGTTGGGGGCCATAGTGCATGAGAGATTGATCGACTGGTCGTGGTAGTGTCGAAGTCTCGGCAGTCCCACCACCTCTCCCCCTACCTCTACCCCTCCCCCTACTCCCTCTCGGCCTCCCTCTCCTCCTCGTACTCCGTACGTTGCCTGATGCTTCCGGCCCAAGAAGTTTACTGACTGTTGGCAGTATAGGAGCAGTAGCAACTCCAGCAGCACTATCAGTTATTGGCGGACGACTTCCAGTGTTTCCTCCCGCCCTTCCGCTCCCCCTTGCTCTCCCACCCCACCTGGCTCTCCCGCCACCCCTTGCTCTCGCGCTTCCCTTTGCTCGCCCGGCCCCTCTCCCTCTGCCGGATGTCGGTGAGGCATTGATGCCAAGTGTTGACGGTAGTGGAGTCTGGGCATCATTTAACCCCCCAAAATCATCAACCTGTAAACCACCACCAGTTAGTGCCCAAGCCTCTTCTAGCCACACAGTTGGTCCCAAAACATCCCCTGGCCACACAGTTGCCAAAGCGGCCCCAGATTCGTTTATCCAAGCTTGTGCACGTGCAAGCTTCTTTTCCTCCTTGATTTTCTTTTGCTCCTTTTGAAGTGGACGCAACGCCGCCGCAATAACGCATATGATAAAATTCGTAATGATAATTCCCACCTGGCCAGCAACAAACTGGTAAGTTCCTACACACTCATCTCCCATAGCAGCCTTCACGGCTAGATAAATCTTGCCGCCTTCCGTCCATTGCTCAACCTCTTCCGTACAAGCGTCCGCCACCTCTTCGATGAAAGCAACATCCTCCATTCCTGATAGAACCTTATAATAATCAGTTCGCGGAACAAGTTTCGTGGGAATGGTAACAGTTCCTGTATCCATTGCTCCCCGCCTGTCAGCTTCCAGAACTCCGGCCATCGGTAAAGGTTTATCATTTCCACTTGGAGCAGCGACAGGTACCCCCGCAGCACCGCCATCAGCCGGAGCCTCTACGGCTTTCTTGTCTCCTGCGTCTGTGTTACCTATATCAGCCACCATAGCGTTCTCTTTACATACGGGGGCCGAGGTTGAGCCATAAGGGGAACCTTGCGTCCATTGCTGTTCCCTCCAAACCGTAGCATGTAGCAAGTCATTACAATAACATTGCAGTATCCGATCGTAAGTTCGTACCGTGATATTGTAGCGATCATCTGCCATCGCCAATATCATCCTCTCTTCCCCGGCGATCTCCCTATCCTCCTCTGCCATCCTTTCTTCTTCCTCCTTTTTTGCCTCCGCTAGCTCAGTCGAACTCACCGACCAGTCTATAGACCAACTTCTCTCCGTATTCGCTAGCTCCTCTTCTGCCTCCACCATCCCGTCCGGAGTCAATGACCAGTCCTCAGAAAACTTTCTCTCCTCCTCCGCCAGCTCCTCTTCTGCCTCGACCATCCCATCCGGAGTCAATGACCAGTCCTCAGAAAACCTTCTCTCCTCCTCCGCCAGCTCCCCTTTTGCCTCCGCTAACCCATCTGAAGTCATCGACCAGTCCTCAGACAAAATTCTCTCCTCGGTCGTTCTTGGCAAATTTGTAGCTTCCAAGTCACTCAAAGAAATTGACCACTCATCATCGTCTGTCGGACTCCTCCCACCTGAACCCTCGGCCCCCCTCCCATCCCCACTCGCCTCCTGGGCCAACCTCACCTCCTGGGCCCTCATCGGCTCCTCGCTCACCTGCTGCCCCTCAACCATGCTCTCTTCCTCTATCAACCTTGTCTCCTCCCCCAACTTCCCCAGGTCACTCGGCCCCTTTTCCTCGCTCGCCTTCTCTCCCGCCCCATTTTTCGGCCAAAGTATCAGATCACCCGGGTCCACTCCCTGACTACAGACCTTGCACACTCTGTCGAGTCGCTGCGTTATGATGCCCTTATTCATATCAAGCATGCATATCCTGGCCAGCCTGAAGCGCAGTTCAGGCTGTGATTTGAGGTAAGTTTTCATGGCCTGGGCGCTTGTACAGTCGCGGGCTTGCGACTGTTTTGGCCCTGGGCAGCCGCAGGCGTGGATTGTAACTACAAGGCGACACATGGCGAGGGTATGTGTTGGCTTGGCTCGTTGTTTGGTCTTTGCGGGATAGAGACTGTGTGATGATTGAGAGATGATTGAATGGTAATTGAGTTATTATCGAGTGGTACTGAGAGATGCTTGACTGATTCTTGACTGACGATGGAGAGGTATTGTATTGTAGAGAGGATATCTGGGGAGGACGTTTGGGGAGGACGTTTGGGGAGGACGTTTGGGAAGAGCGGGGGGGGTAAAGGCATGATGGCGTGGTTGTAAAGTTGAGAATGGAAGGGAAGGTGCGAGCGAGGGCCGTTAAAATCGAGAGATAGAAAGAGCGAGAGCTGTTGATGGGCCAAAGGGCACGAGAGGGTGGTTCAGAGAAGGAAGGAAGGAGCGAGGGAGAGATGGTAGTTGCAACATCGTAAACAATGTGCGAGGCTATATGAAAACAAAATGGAAGGAGCGATAGCGTAACCGCAACAGAAAGAGAAATTGCGAGCCCGGCATCACGTCGTCTCGCGAGGAAGTCACAACCTCCATAATGTGAAAGAAGGGGCGATAGACACAAGGCGATTAAAACTAGGAGAGACGGAGCGATACCAGTTGAACGCAGAAAGGAAGGACGGACACACCACATCTGAGACAGGAACAGAAGGAGCCAAGGGCGTCCCTGCCATGCCAAAGAGGTCGCCAGGTGAGAAGGACAGGGAAGGACCGGCACGCCATAGCCAAGAACTGACTAGGCGGGTGTTGGCATCACCATCGTCCGAACAGCCCCAATGTGCATGCCATCGTTCTGTCGTTGCTTGCTGGCTGCGTGGGAAAAGGATAGACTTATCTGCTCAATTAATGCGTCTTGAGGAATGCAGTAGGAGATGTATGCGCAGCTCTGCCAATGGGGAGAAGGCACCCTTTGTGAACTGATTAACAGCTGTATAGATTGAAGTTGTAGAGCTATTTTGTTGGAACTGCGTTCCTAGTAGTACGCTGCACATGCGTAGCCGATATACCAACTGTGTATATATAGGGGCTTCGCCCCCCGTAGTTTCTCAATCAAGTCGTCAAACTCCAATTATGTGTTCAACAGGTTATGAGCCCGAAATGCAGAGCGTCCTTATATAGGATATCAAACATCGAGTGTCTAGCAGTGTTCGGCGGATCGTATCCGGATCTGATCCTGAGCCCTCACAGGTAAGATCATGATCCGTCTGAGGTCTGACGGATAGATACGGGTTATATCCGCTTCAGGATAATGAGGCTTAAAATATAAAACTAGAATAACGTACATGTATAGCGAAAGCGCCAAACAAGCGAAAGCGCCAAAATTATCTACCCTCACGACAAACATTGCGATAAATCTACCACAACATTAGAAATCAATTGAAACTACTCGGAGTCCTCTTCCTCAGAGGTGTCTATTACAATCTGACACGTGCGCGAATTGTGCCCAGTCTCACCACACTTGCCACAGCGACGGGCACGGGTTTCTTCCCTTGGCTTCCGACCACGGCTTGCCCTTATTTCCTGCTCTACCTGCTGCACAACATCCCTCTCATCCTGTAGCTCTTGCGCCCCTTGTTGACTAAGTGATCCTCCTTGCTGTAGTCGTGTTTTCCTAGCTCTCCGGCGCTTGCTTAGTACTTCATTTGCCTGTCGTAGGTTTTGGTTCTCTGCCTTTAGCAGTGCTAATTGATGCATTATTTGCGATGCACCCTTTGTAAACTGGTCAACAGCTGCATAGATTGAGGTTGGAGAGCTATTTTGATGGCGTGAAATCCGAGTTTTAATAAATGTAGACTGTGACATAGCTTCAATTGGGTTGTTTGGTGTCTGAGAAACCCAAGGTTGAGCAGTACCTGGGCGGGAGCTTGGAGGCGTTGGTGTCCTTAACTTAAGATCAAGTGTAGATATCACTCTCTCAGGGTCAAATGGAAGAAGCCCTGCCCCTCGGAACCCGCCTCGAATGTTACTTTCCGTCATTGTAGTGTTAAATGCAGCGTGGAAGGCAGGAAAGAAGTCATCCTTTGTAATATGAGAAATATGAGCCTGCATCATATCTTCAATTTGCCGACCATAGGCCTGCTTTAACGGGCCGAAACAGCCAACATCAAGTGGCTGGAGTAGATGAGAAGAGTGAGCAGGACCATCAAGGACTAACAAGCGATAACCACCAACACTCCGGGCCTTTGTATGCTTCTCAAAGTGCTGAATCCAATCCATGCCTCTCTCGTTTGTAGTCCAGCCATTTTCAGTAACAGAAATCACCCAATCGCTTGAAAATCCACTATTCTCATACCAAGATGTAAGGTGGTTTTTGCCTGCAACAATGATAAATGGTGGTACTGCCCAACCTTGAGAACTAACGCCTTGGATTACTGTAACCCATTCCCGATTACCAGGCTGTACCTTCTTTGCTTTTGCCCGCCCGTCTGAGCTTGTTACAACCATAGCAGTTGAGATAACGCCCATCATAAACCCAGTCTCATCAAAGTTGTAGATATCTGCTTCATCGATACCATATTTCGCAATTGTGTTACGCACAAGCTCAAACCAGCCATTAATAACTTCTGGATCTTCGCACTTAGCCCTCTGGTAGTCGTATTTGCGCTGAAAGCGTGTCTGGAGCTCTACACGCCGCTTAACAAAGTTTGAAGCCCAACGCGACCCAACGCGTGACGCGTCGCGTGTTGCAAGTAGTCGACTTGCCATATCTTCAACAACAGACAGCCGAGGAGGAAACCCTTTGGCAGCTAGGTCGAGTATATACTGAACAAGGACGGACTCCTCTAGGTTAGTTAATTTCCGTGAGTTGGCTTGGATATCGCGTCGTGAAGGTACACCTTCTAGACGACGACCTAGCTTGCGGTGGTCCACAGAATAGATCCTAGCAGCAACTCGAAGGCGTAACTTTGGGTCGCTTTGCATAGCCTGGATAGCTAGCACTAATTGGCTTTCATCGTTTTTATGGGGCATGTTTTGTTGTTGAGGAATTTAACATTTAGTTGGGGGGTTTGGTCACCGCATCATTTTGGCGCTTTCGCTTGTTTGGCGCTTTCGCTATACATGTACGTTAGATAAAATAACTTATATAACTACTCTTCCCCCTCGTCATCAGCGTCTTCGGCTTCACTTTCTTCAAGAGCAATTGCAGCTATAATTGGATATTCATATTGCTTTGCCGCCCAATATTTGAGGATATTTGTTGCTGGACCTGGCCAGGGCTCAACAAGCCAGCGCTTCCATTCTGGTTCTTGGTGAATACTATGAGAGATATATAAATCGTCGTCGGAGTCAGGTTCTGTAGGTAATTGTGGTAAATCAGCCTCAGCTTCCCTTTTCTCTTCTTCAAGATAGTATTAGCAGTCTCTATATTGAATAAAGACGTCGTGGAACTGCTCATATTCTGTTTGACTTCTTCAGTACTGCTTGGCCAAAGACTGTTAAATACGTTAAGATTCATACGTGGATCGCAAATTGTAGCTACCCCTGAATGACTCCATCGTTGATTCGTAGCAAGCGTATAGTACTCATTAAGCTTCTTATGAGCAGCGATACAAGCTAGGCTGATCGTTGATGATATACCAACTTTCTTCTGTAAAGCCTCAAGCTTTTTTATCATCTTTCTCGATAAATGCGGACTCCAAGGAAGTATTGTGCAGGACCAAGCTCTTCAATTGTGAACTTTGTCTGCAACTCATATTTCAACTTACTTAAGTCCTCGTTATCTTTGCCAATAATGAGGCAGTCATCAACATAAGTGACAATGATGATCTTTGTGTCCTTCTTGATGAAGATGCATTGGTCTGTTTCAAGTGGTTCAAATACAAGAGATTGGAGTGCTTTGCGAAGTTTTTTTGCCAAAGACGTGGTGACTGCTTGAGACTGTAAAGCGCGCATGACAGCTTGCACACATCCTCCTTTGAAAGCTTGACACCATTCTCACACCATCCAGGAGCAATTCGACATATACTTCTGCATCAATATCATTTTCAAGGAATGCAGTGTCAACATCCATCTGTTCAATCTCAAGATCGAAATGTGCAGCGAGGGCAACGGCGATTTTCCATGTGGCCGATTTGCAAACTCCTGCAAAGGTCTGCTCATAATCCTTTCCATATCTCTGCTCATAGCCCTTTACAACCCATCGAGCCTTGCGGCGAAGGATTTTGCCATCTCGATCTTTTTTAGTGCGCAAAACAAGGCGTCCACCAAGGACCTTTTTCCCTTTTGGAACTTTGCTTTTATGCATGACTTCCCACACTTTTTTGCAAGTAATAGATCAATATTCAGAGACAATGGCCTCATGCCAGAGATCTCCATCAGATCGAGCAAGAGCTTCTTCTGCATTTTGTGTGTTATGTTCTGTTCCTGTGAAAAATGCGTTTTGGAATTCTTTGTCTTGAGATTCCTGTTCTTTTTTTGTGTACATGGCATTTTGAGGTATAGCATCAGCCTTTGCTTGGTTTCTTGTGATTCGATTGTGTTCAGCAATAGGAACCCAGACTGCGCGAGTTTGGGTCTTCTTTGGAGGTTCGTGCTCCTCATGCTCGATTTCTGCATCTGGCTGATCTTGAGGAGTTTCTTCCGCATCCTCCTGATTGTGAATCGGGTCTAGAGTCTGTCCTTCATAGTCTTTATTCATTGAGACGGAAGGTGGAGGGTATCGCAGTTCATCCATTTCTTCAACTGCGTTGTTGTGGGCTGCTTGGACATTTTCGTCATTGATTTGGTCAAATGTTGGCTCTGTAATGAAACCACTGCCTTCATCAAATCGAGCATGCGAAGTTCTTATAATCTTCTGTCCAGCTCGAGAAGGATCAGCCAGATGCAGAAATTGAACATGAGGAGCACGAACCTCCAAAGAAGACCCAAACCCGCAAAGTCTGGGTTCCTATTGCTGAAACTCGAAAAATGTTATGACCCTCATATCCGACAAGAATGCCAACTTCTGCCCTTAAGGCAAGCTTCTGGCTTTGCACTCTGCGTTCCTTTTGGATAAGAACATATGTCTTGCATCCCAGAACTCGCAAATGGGAAATATTAGGCGTATGATTCACCCCTGGTTCAATTTCGTCCCAAAAGGCTTCAAATGGTGTCTTCCCTTTAATAGTTGAAGTGGCCACTCTGCTTGAAATGTAAATGGCAGCTTGAAACAGCTCTGGCCATAGGAATTCAGGGATTTGCTGATCGATTGCAGCAGATCGAACACGTTTAAAAATGGTGGAAAGCTTCGTTCGGCTGTGCCGTCTTGATATGCGCAAAATGGAGTAGACAGCTCAAGGATGGTTCTGAGATCTGCTGTAAGCTCATCAATCCGGGTAGGAGCATATTCCTTTCCTCCATCCATTCTAAATCTCTTAATTGTGATGTTATATTGCGTCTTTGCAAGTCGAATCATCCGGACAATGCATCTGTACGCATCACACTTATTTTTGAAAGTCCATCCATAGCGGACACTGTACTTTCTGCAAGTAAACAGTATGCCATACTTCTCTCCGTGGAGTCCATGAGGCGTGACAGTAACAACATCACAATGTACTTCTTCAAGGGCTGTTTTCGGTCTTAGTTGAGCTAAAATTTTATTCACTTGACGGATTGGCTTTGCCTCTTCGCATGGCTGGCACAATATCGTCGCAATGGCAGTGCCTACTTTGCTATATGAGATCCCATTTACCATGTCTTTGGTCTTGCGGACGTTATCAAGTCCAAGATGACAGAGGCGTCGATGCCAAAGTTCAATGTCTGTGTTCTTCTGCTCAATCGCAGCAGGTAAAATCGAGGGCAGGATAAGTGATCCTTTGCTTCCATTTTGAATTCATAAAGGAACAGATCTGAGTCAACTCTGCCCATCTCATTGCCATGCTTATCGAGAAGCTGGCCATTCTGTAGATGTCCTCCACTGTTATAAAGCTTCTTTCCGCTAAACAGGCAAACTGGCGAGGAAGGCATATAGATGACATGATGGAGGGTAATTTTGGTCTTCTCTGTGTTTTCCTTTACTCCAAAAAGTCGAACTAAGCCACAGCCTTGAGGAGGAACAAGTCCATTTGTTGTATTCATGAATCATAAATCCATGCGTTCTTCATAAGTGTCAAACTTCTCAAGACTGTTTGCAATGTGTAACGCTGACTTCTAAATGATAGAAGACACAGAGGTTTCTTGCGTAAGTTTGACTTGACAGAGGAGGCAGGGGATTAGACACAAAGGCTTTCCAAGTAACACGTTACAGTATTGTAAAGAATACTATATTGAGTTGAGCACAAAGCTCCTTGTAATGGTGGGTGTACCAGATGTGAGAATCCAGCCACCCAAGGAAGGGGATGATTTTACTAAGACAACACACTGTCTTAGGAAACAGAGCCAAAGGGTCGTAGCTTAGACTATTCCACAATGCAGCAATCAGGTGTATGATGTAGTGGAGTGGTTTAGACAAGTTGTACAAATGTTGAGTCCGAGAACTCAGGGATAAGTCAGAGGTTAGCACCTCACTGACTTTTCAGAAACAAGGAGTAACAAGATCAATGCTTGGAAGCTTGGAAAAGACGTGGAAGTATGTGATAGTCGATTTACTGTATTGTCTGTTTGCCCTTTCTTAAGGCAAGGGCAATCCTATTTATGCTAAAGGAGTGTAGTTCTCTCATTTTTCAAGACTTTCCATGACTAACCAGGCTTGGTAACTGTAGTCGACATAAGAAAATCCCATAGAACCATCTCCTAGGTTCCTAGCCTATAGGAAGTGAAAGGAGGTCCAAGGTCAGAGTACCCCTATAGACAGATTATGTCATAACTTAACCAATCTTGTGGGTAACTAAGGAGCGATGACGTGTAATGAATCATAGAGGGTTGTAGAAGCTTTTGGAGCTATCGTTCATGTTTCTAGGCCTCTAGTTGATAGAGATATGTCATGTGTAGTATTAGCCCAGTAACTTAAGGAGTGATGTCATGTAATGAATCATAGAGGGTTGTAGAGATATGCTATGTGGTCATATCGGCCCAGTAACTAAGGAGCAATGACGTGTAATGAATCATAGAGGGTTGTAGCAATCGTTGAGTAGTATTGCTCTTGTTGCGGTGTGATAAGCCAAAATATGTATAGTGACTTGTAGGTTTGAGGATCTACTTATATAGTGGCGTCGTGCCAAAGGGATATCCGTGGATAACATGGATAACATAATATCCATGATATCCAATGTTATCCATCACGTGAGGTTGCAGCTGTAAGCGCTAGCCATAGCACTAGCACTTAGCCGTAACAATGTGCTCATCTGCTCCTGTATCGAATAACCACCTATCTCTGCTTATAGTGTTCGATTTTGCTAGCACTGTATAAACCACAAGGTCAAAATAGCTCTTAGAATCATTACCCTCATCTTTAGTTTCATTTTTCTTCTTCTCAATATGCTTCCGATATGGGGTCCATTTGTTCCCATTCTTCCGCTCCCACTCATCACACTTTTCCTTGTTATTTTTGAGGCAGTCTTGAGGTGAGTGTTGAGGTTTCGGCATTGTGCAATGTGGGCAAGATGGTCGATCTGCATTATTCTTGTCCTTGCTCGGGTTTTTGCCCTTACACGTTCCTTGAGATTTATTTCCATACAGGGCATTCGAGCCTGTAGGAGTCAATTTCGATCTCGCCTCATCTGTGAGGTGATCGATAAGAGAGTTTAGAGTGATGCGGTGATCTGGAGACCGAAGGAATGACCTTTGGCGTTCTGCCCAAGTTGGCCACTTGTTCGCACAAGAAGCTATAAACATAACAGGAAGCCAATCATCATGAGGAGGGCATTGTAGACTCTCAAGTTTGTCAATAGCTTCACGGACAGCGATAATAAGCGTGTCAAGTGAAGAGAAATTCTCGTACTTGAGGTGAACATACTTCTGAATTGCATTGTACTTCAGGACTGAACCTGAGCCTTTGTATTGCTGTTGTAGGGCTCTCCACATCTCAAGTGCTGTGTCCTTTGCAGACGCCACTTTTCCTGGAATCGTCTTGCTGTTATATTGGATCGCGAGCTGCATCTGAGCATCACCATTCTCCCAAGCTTCATAGCTTGTCTCTATCTTTGGCCTCATCGTAGTCCTCATAGAATTCATCGATGTATTCTGGCCTCTTGCATCTATCGTTGATGTAATTTTGCCAATCCATTGCCTCGGGCGATGTTGACGATAAGTTCCTTCCAGTTGGTGTAATTCTCTTCACCCTTGAGCTTCAAATGCTCTGGAAGATGCAGCGAAGTCGTATTCAGACTCACCATAGTTGTAGAAAACATATTGGCTATTGGTGTAGTCGCAGTTGCGTTCAAAATTCAGTTTGAGGATAAAGTTGCGAGTTGATCTGTTACGTTTCAAAACTGTTTGAGGTTGAGGTTGTGGTGCTGTAACGAAAACACTGACTTCAGCAAGTCTGTTGACGGATTGGTGAATTGGACTGCACAAATCAACACTCAATGATAATTCTGATCTTGTAAATACCTTAACAATAGGCTTCCGGGCTCATAACCTGTAACACATAGTCACTGGAGGTTTGGAAGTGTTGATTGGTAGACAAGTTGTTGATTGATTGAAGTTCTAAGAGTCTACAGTTGAGGTAATCTAAGAACTATTTTGGTGGGGTCACTCAGAGCTCCAGCTACACCAATCCTGCACTAGTCCTATGATGCCACTCCTACAATTCCTGCAACACATTACGATGGTATTTGAACCAGTATTATAGAATCAATTCTATGTCTATTATATGGCCTTGGCTACTCTTGGCCATTCTTGGCATTATCGGTAAGATCCGGATATATCCTCAGATCGTACGGATAGATAATAATTATGGCAGATAGGATATATCCGGATCAGTATCCGGATCAGCTCAGGTCATACACGATCCGTGCTGAACACTGGTGTCTAGAACGTCCAATCAGTCTCTCGAAAATGCGGACTCGTTTGTGAAATACGTTACTTCAAAATATAATTAAATAACCAGAATATATAAAAACTAAAGCTACTTAGAATCTGATAAACTAAGTACTTCTACATCCTCCTGACAAGTTCTCGCATTATGACCAGCTTTTCCACAAGTGCCACAGTGCCGACTAGACAGTTTCCCCTCCCTCCTACTACTCCCCTCTACACAGTGTTGCCCGAGTAGTACTCGCCCTGAGTAGTATTCGGCAAGTCCAAGTACTCTGGTATTCGGGTGATATTTATGAGTACTCGGGGACTCGCTGAATACTACTCTGAATACTCTTAATACTGCCAAGCCCTTAGCAGGAGGGGTAACTAAGCATAGAATAGAATAGATAAATGAAGCTTTCTTCCCTTGCGCGTTCTGTATTACTTCCTGACTATGAAAATGAGTGGCTCTTCTCTGTCGCCTGTGCGAGCTAAGTATCAGTCTGATGCTTTAGAGCTACAGTTGAACCTGGATATAAGGATACCCTCGGGACCGGGCGTGGCATCCTTATAGCCCATTGGATTTTGATTTGCTGCAAATGTCGCACTCTCTTACTACCGTTTCCACCTGCTTCCTCATACCTGGGAAGTAGTAGTGTCGGGTGATTCGTTCGAAGGTTCGTGTTACTCCCTGATGGCCGTGTGCTGGTTGTCATACTGACATTCGTTGCACTCAGTTTGCTATCAAACTCAAGAGCAAACTTGGAAATCTCCTCCTCAAACCTACAAGTCACTATA